GATCTAGACCCAAGAACAGAATATTTAGAAGCTGTAGTGACCAGACCCTTCCCAGACCTTTCCCTGTTACAGTGACACACTCGGGGTCCTTAAATCCTGTGGGATAGAAGTTCTCTCTTCAAAGAAGAGAGCTGCTGCCACGTGAATCACTCAGCCTTTCCCAAATGTTTTCATTCAGTGGGTTTCCTGAGTGGCTTTTGTCCTCTGCTGCCTGGATTCCATCACACGGGGCTCCCTCACCTGAGGCTGGAGAACAGGTGAGTGGGAGGATGATGGCAGAGACCCCAAACCTGGGGCTGTGGCCCTGACCCCCTCACCTGATGCTCTTTTTGGGCAGCATTGGTGGGGAACTGGCCCTCCTGCCTCTGCCACCAGCCGAGCCCTGTGCCCAGCAGGGAGGGCTGAACCAGGACCCCGGGAGGCAGGGCCGGGCAGGTCCAAGGCAGGTGAGGCAGCTCAGCCCCTTCCCGGCGTGTTCAGCTGGGAGCAGCATGGGAGGAGCAGATCAATCTGTGCCAAGACTGGGGGAGGAGGCTCCGGCTTCCCGGCACCCCACTCCCCTTACAGGCTCTCTGGGCTGTCCAGGCTCTCCCTTCCACCGTGGGGCTGGAATCCTGCTCCCCTACAGGAGGGGTTTGGTGCTGTTCCCTCAGCACCCACCAAGTGCAGCTCTGGGCACTGCTGCAGACACCCCTGCCCCAACCCTGGCAGAGACTGTTTCTCCCCCTGGTTGGAGGATCCCCTGCCTAGCTTGGGCTGGCTGACATACAACACCTCTTGCAGCTAATGTTGGTCAGGAATTTATTTGAAATACATCTACATTAGAAAAACTAGATTTTTATTTGTGTTTTGTTTTGTTTTTTTTTCTTCAAATCACTCTAAAATATCAAAACTTACAAACTTTCCTTTGCTGCATGGAGGTTGTTCATGTGCAGGGTGTAAAATGCCCACGGCTCGGGGATATAGATCACACCAGGGTACTTCTTCCTGAGAATGTTGTCATTCCACAGCCAAGCCACCCACAGAGCAATGAGGAGCAGGGTTATGATGAAGGAGTAGAAGAGGAAAAGCCCGTTGCTGTCCAGGACCAGTCCCTTACGTTTCTGGTGCATCACCAAAGCCATCATGGCAAAGAAAGTGAAAATGTAGAGGATGAAAATCTGACCCTCTGTCACGAGATACCTATGGAGCAAAAACACCCCTTAGTGTCCCTGGGAGAAGGCACAGTCCCTGTGCTGCTTCCTACCCCCAGGCTGGAAGCTGGGATTTGTTTTCCTGGGTTTGCTCAGGAATTGAACAACTGAGCTATGAGCTCTGTGAAGAGAATGGGTAAAGAAATGAGTGGCCAGGGTGGGATTTGAAAGGTGCTGGGCTCTGTGAGTGTGATGCTTGAATGCTAAAGGCAGGCTCTGGCTCCAACCCGTGGATGTTGTGCTCATTTAACTCAAAAATCCACTGCTCCCCCCATGGAGTGGCTGGTCCTGAATGGGTGTTAGCAGGAGGAGGAAGGAATTCCACTCCCTGGCTCTTAAATCCCCAGCACATGAACTGCAGAGACTCATGCTGATAAATGTAAAGGACGTGAATTGGAGTAACTGGGAACTGACCAAATCATCTTGATGATTTTGACTATCAAAAATTAATTTACTGTATAAAAACAGTCTCAGCAGGGGGCAAAGACACAGGCAAGAGAGAACATCATCTCTGAAGATGAGTGAAAAGTTGTTTGGCTGCCACCAGGGAACCTGCTTGGGAAGATGAAGCTAATGAAAATGGGAAATAAATAAGACCCCTCTCAAAAAGCT